AATGCCATTTCACTTATGATGTCAAGCCCCAATTTTTAAAAAGATGTTGATTAAATAACCATGAAACGGGTTGGATCAGGAAGGATAATGTTTTAGTTCTTTTACTTTTTTTGGGTATTTTCTTTAAATGTATTTTGTATTTTATTTTTATATTGAGGAGATAAGAATTGCCTTTTAATTTTTTAGGTTGAGAATATCAAAATCTTGTTTAAGTGTGGCAGTTTCCTCTTTCATCAGTATGTCTGATACAAGAATTTCACAAAAATTGTGACTATGGCACACCAACATTCTTTTGCTGCCCCAGACAGAGACATGGTAATTCAGTTCATATTGGAAACCCTATTATAGACAGTACATCTTACCATGAAATTCAAACACAGTCAAAATTCAATGCACTGTTGTAAATACATATTTGCAGTACTCATACACATTATTATATATACGGCATGCCAACAAGATTACATAATTGCAAAGGCAAATACATACACATACTTGTGTACATACACACATGCATGTAGATGTGTGCCATTATTGAGTATGTGTTTACATACGCAAATATGGGCACACATGTAAATACATGCGCAAATACATACACGCACAAATGCACAGGCACAAGTACGCACACTTGCAAATTAACACACATGCAAATGCACATACACATGCAAATGCACATACACATGCAAATGCACATACACATGCAAATGCACATACACATGCAAATGCACATACACATGCAAATGCACATACACATGCAAATGCACATACACATGCAAATGCACACACACATGCAAATGCACACACACATGCAAATGCACACACACACACACACACACACACACACACACACACACACACACACACACACACACACACACACACACACACACACATACACACACACACATACACACACACACACACACACACACACACACACACACACACACACACACACACACACACACACACACACACACACACACACACACAGGCTATACATATACATATACATATACACAAACACACATGTACATATAAACACATACACATACACATGTACACACATACACATGTACACACATACACATGTACACACATACACATGTACACACATACACATGTACACACACATACACATGTACACACACACATACACATGTACACACACACACACATGTACACACACACACATGTACACACACACACACATGTACACATACACATACACATGTACACATACACATACACATGTACACATACACATGTACACACACACACATGTACACACACACACACATGTACACACACACACATGTACACACACACACATGTACACACACACACACACATGTACACACACACACACATGTACACACACACACACATGTACACACACACACACATGTACACACACACATGTACACACACATGTACACACACACACATGTACACACACACATGTACACACACACACATGTACACACACACATGCACACACACACATGCACACACACACACACACATTGCTAATTCTTTCATAAAAAAAAGAAAAAAAGTGAAACCTCCTTTGCCAGTCCAGTGATTTCTATTGAAGGTCAAGATTGGAATAGTTTGAGCGAAGCTTGTAGCAAAAAAGCATAACTAACTTGTTCATCATGATAGACTGCATGCTAAGATCTTTCCATTTCCTTTCCATGAATTAACAGTCAAGGATTGTAACACTTGTATATTTTGTGTGCCGGCGTGGCAGACTGTTTCAAGGTGGTGTGGTCCTACCCTTCTGCTTAGCATGAGCTGCTGTCATCTGTTTTCCAGTGAATGTGCCTCTCCTCTGCATTTCTTATAATGCAGTGTTTCTATGTAGTTTCTTTCAGTCCGTTCTCTGATTTTGATCACTTCAGTATGGTCAGAGGGAAAGATATAGTGAACTTGTTATAATGGGTCATGGTTTTTTTTTTTTTTTTTTTTTTTTTTTTTTTTTAACTATTCTTATCACTATTGAGATGAGTTATTTTGATAACAAGGCTGACTTTTAAGTTAACTAATTGTGATATTTTTTATATCTATTTGGAGTAGCCATTATATTTGTATACATTTTCTTTGGATGAAAATATTGAAAATCACGCTTGATAATCCTAAAGCATCACTGTGTGATCAGACAAATCCTGTGCACTTTTGAGCACCCTTGCTAGTGACTTTTACCTGTTGCCTTTAGTGTATGGGAAGCTGTTTTTTATTTTTTTGTTTATTTTATTTATTTTTTTTGGGGGGGGGTAGACAATCACAGTTTTTACGTGCATGTTTCCCTATATTTATTCTCTTTTTTCCCTCCTTTTTTTCCATATGCTCTTGAAAGAGCTAAGAATGTGGACATTTTTTTTGTGCAGACAATAGATTAGGCAGATTTTTTTTAAGCAGTATTTTAAGCATATGAAAAACCCTTAATTTTTTCTCCCCCCTTTTTTTTAATATAATAATTAAGATTTGTTGAGCTGGCAGTTTTTTATAACATGTTTGTTATTGTTCACCCTGACATGGTTTTTGCTTATTGGATAACCACAAAATGGGTTTCTGTGATATTTGTAGTTATTATTTATGGAATAGCTCTCACAAAATACACCTGCTTTATTATACAGCACTGTTTTTAGGAGCGCAGTCTCAAATAATCCATAGTAGTCCCTTTTGCTAGATCTGTGCTCTGTTTTGAAAAATAGTTAAAGACTTCTTTAGAATATTTAGTGTCATTGTTTGATTTTCAGATATAAATGAGCACAGCTTCAGCACATCCAAAACCTTAAAAATGAAATTCTGTAGAATTATGATTGCATGGGAAACAAAAGGATAAAAGGGTTTTGTTTATTAATTGGTTCAGAGCAGTATGGGATAGTAGTTGCTTTGTACAGATACTTATTTCCAGCACATAGTAACTGTAGAATTTTTTTTTTTTTTTTTTTTTTTTTTTTTGATAGCTGCAAAACACAGAACACATTGGCTATGCATTTGTGTTTGAGGTAGAAAAATGAGTCCAAACGTATTCTGAACGTTTCCTCATTTCCATGTCCTGTTTTCGCAGGAGGGACCCGGACTCCTCTCATCTCCGACCCCAAGTTCCGAGGAAACGCAATCGACCACAAGCCAAGGTGCTGAGGGCAAGGGGGTTCCCAGTGGGATGTGGGTGAATGGGCGGGAAGCAAGCGGGCTACCATGGGAGGAGGTAGCCCGTTTGCTCGTCACAGACACCAACAGTGGCCTGCCCTCCCGAGAGGTCATGACCCGGAGACAAGTCATCGGTTACAATGAATTCTCGGAGGCTGAAGATGACCCCTTGTGGAAAAAATATCTGGGACAGGTTAGTAGTGTCTTTTGCGTGTTTTATTTCCTTTCAGAGATTCTGTTTTATGGTAAAATTCCAGAATTTGCTTGTACTTGTACTTGGCTCTCATATTATCAGACTTAAATTTTCCATCTGATCTCGTTTAATATTATCAGACTTAAATTTTCCATCTGATCTCGTTTAATATTCTTTTTTTGTTTTGTTTTTTACAGTTTAAGGAACCTCTAATCCTCCTGTTGCTGGCTTCAGCCTTTGTCTCTCTGTGTATGAGCCAGTTTGATGATGCAGTTGTTATTACACTTGCTATTGTGATTGTTGCAACAGTTGCTTTCATTCAAGAACTTAGAACAGATAAAGCTCTTGAGGAATTGAAAAAGCAGGTAAGCCGTTATGAGTTCACTGAGATATTCATATAGTATTGATATAATTTTATATTGTGAAGTATCATTTTCATATAACATTCTACTGTTTCTGTATATTGCATATAGAACTATAGATAACTGTAGTTTTAATTTTTATAATAAAGAACATTTTTTTGTAGAAGAGGTATGCATGAGAATAAATATCTTTACAATACAAGAGATCTATTTAACCAATTTCAAATATATCTTCATCAGAAATACATGTATACCTTTTCTACATTTATTGTAATGAATACAGCTCAAATTATTTCGTGTCAGCAGCACATAAATAAAGTTGTCATGTCTATATACAGTATATTATATCCAGTTAATCCTCAGAGAGAGAATTTTAAACAAGTGATATCATTGGCAAGAATTTTCAGAGAATTTTGTTTTTAGGTACCCGTCACCTGCATGTGTCTACGTGATGGTAATGTCAATGAATATCAGGCAAGGGAGCTGGTTCCCGGGGACATTGTCCATCTTAACATTGGGGATCGAGTCCCAGCTGATTTAAGACTCTTTGAAGCCAATGATCTCAGTATTGATGAATCCAGTTTCACAGGAGAAACAGAGCCAGCTGACAAGGTATGTAAAACCATCGCCTCTGTTGATATGGGATTGTTACAGTTTTGTGTAATGTGAATGTCAGAAATATCTGAATTATATAAATAAAAAAATATATGTTCTTACATCTATCATGCTTATCTCATTCTAATCTTTATACTTTTAACAGACTTAAGAATTAAAAAGTGATGTGTAATTCTTGCTTCCAGAATAATAATCTTGTCACCACAAGCACTTATGGCACCTCTGGAAGCCTAGCCAATGTTGCGTATATGGGGACCTTCGTTCGCACTGGCCGTGGCAAAGGCATTGTCATCAGCACTGGAGAAAAGTCCCAGTTTGGTGAGCTGTTCAAAATGATGATGGAAGAGGAGGCTCCTAGAACCCCTCTCCAAAAGAACATGGATGAGCTGGCTAAGAAACTCTCCATATTCTCCTTCTGTTTCATTGGGGTTGTGTTTGCTCTTGGATTGTACCAGGGCATTCCCATTCACAAGGTGGGCGGGCTTTAACATTTTTAGTTGCTTCTTTCTAAGATCTTGATAATGATTGTGGGACTGAAATATACCTAAATTTACATGTATGTTAAGTATGCAAAGGGATTTTCTTCACCTATTGATTATATACTGTGATTAAAATTCACATCACCCACTTGCAGATCTTCAATATTGCTGTAAGTTTAGCTGTAGCAGCAATACCAGAGGGCTTGCCCATAGTTGTGACGATGACACTGTGTCTAGGAATTCGTCGTATGGCCCAGCGCTCAGCTTTAGTAAAAGGCTTACACACAGTGGAAACTCTTGGTTGTGTCACGACAGTTTGTTCTGATAAAACTGGAACTTTAACAAAGGTAATTTTTGTGTGATTAGACTGATTATGTTATGGCAGTTTGGATAAAATCTTTGATATCTTTTGGCTTTATGCTTGGCTGAGTATTCATGTTAGATATTGATTTATTTTTTGGTACACATGTTTCTGTAAATAATTTCCTTATTCATTTGTGTAAGAAAGCCTTTAACTTGTTATCATATGTGAATGCAATTAAAAATACAGCAGTATATGTTAACTTGTTACTTTTCATAGATCAGCAAAGTTTTTCTTTATGGAATTTGATTGGTCATTTATTATTGTTGTTGTTTTTTAATGCTTTATAAGGTAATGCTGGATATTAAATTCTTTCCACACAGAATGAGATGACTGTAACATCCATCATCACGTCAGAGGGCGATGAATGCCACGTCACTGGAGTAGGCTATTCCTCTGACGGTTGCATTGTGTTTGAAGGAGGCTACTCTGACCTAGCTAATGAGGCCGTCACGAAGCTTCTCGAAACAGGTTGGTTTGAGTGTTGCCATTTGTACTTGTGCAAGGATTCTTTTTGTCTTTGATCCTTTGTCAGGGAGTGCAGTGTAGTAATTTACTGTGAATTCGGAAGATTTTGTTATTCTTTTTAATGGAAGATATGCTGCCTGTATATTATGATTTATGTATGTTTATTTTTATAATGTGCACCAGTAATTTCCTAAATGTTACTTACAAGATTTTTTTTTTATTATTATTATTCCTATAATCATGCTAAGGCATAAGGCACTAAGTGTTTCCCTTTATAACATGTGCTAGTGTGAGGTCTGTGAACTGTGATTTTCAGATTTTTTTACAAATGATCAAAACTGCACCTTGTATGATTGATGTAGAGGGTTTTTGTAATTTTTAACATGTTTAATTATTCCATTTCCTGCACTTTTGCTGTAAAAGTATTCCAGTGTTGTGATTTTATACATGATAGTCTGTAATACTATTTGAAATATATTACAGAAAACAAAGTAAAACCCTGAAAAGTCAATATTGTCATCCACATGCTGACAAATGGCAAAAAATTATCCCATAAGAGAAAATTGAAATACAGTTTGGTTGGGGATTATAGCATGGCTGATAAGAGATGTGTATACTGAAAGTCTATTTGCTTTTGCCAAAATCATGCAAGAACATTAGACTGTAATATTATCTTAGACAAAAGTATACCCCAGGAAAGTAAGATGAAACAAGTAACCTTCAATTTATTGTTTAGAAGGCATTGTGCAGAAAATCAAAGGGATGATTGGCCCCATCCACCTCCAGCATTCATAATTCCTTCATAGGCCATTATTTAAGTTCGTTTGGAAGCATTTGATGCCCCCCCCCCCCCATCCACTTCTGCATAGGCATAATTATTAATGCTCTGCCACTTTGCCATCAGCTGTGGGTTCACATATGATTGTGTTTACTTCTTAAGGTTTACATTTAGTTCTGATTATACATCTCAAATAGTATTATAGCCTGACCATTGATTTATAAATTTTGGCTATTTTGTATGTAGGGTATTGGGATACACACCTGTTATCAGCCGTGCTACTAGTCCCGCCTAAACTCTATATTGATTTATACTTATGGGAGTTTGTGTATCATTAATTGCCTTCTTACATATGGACCTGCAATGTAATTACCCCTAATGTATCTTTTGTTTAAAACTTGTATTTAATAAAGTTGCAGCAGGTATTCCCTAAATTTTAATCATATGCTTATTGTTTTTCAGGTGCTGTATGTAATAATGCTGAGATAGTTGGGGATCAGCTGCTGGGACAACCCACGGAAGGAGCCATACTGGCTGCTGCTATTAAAGTAAGTATGATTTTGCTAAATAGGAATGATGTTTATGGATATTGGGTTTCTGGTCTTGTCATTTTTGTAACAGATAGATATTTATATGAAGTTTTTACATTTCAGCATGGCGTGTACAATGCCCGAGATAAGTACCAAAGATTGGAAGAAATGCCTTTCAGTTCTGAAAACAAGAAAATGTCCGTCAAAATCAGGAATAAAAAAGTAAGGAATAGACATGTCTCTCTCTTGCCAGCATGGCCTATCTGTCTGTATCTGTATGAATCTCTCTCTCTCTCTCTCTCTCTCTCTCTCTCTCTCTCTCTCTCTCTCTCTCTCTCTCTCTCTCTCTCTCTCTCTCTCTCTCTCTCTTTACCTGTCTACCTGTCTCTCTCCTTCCCTCCTTCCCTCCTTCCCTCCCTCACTCACTCACTCTCTCCCATTTTTGCCTTTGTCATCCCCCAATTTTCCTCTTTATTTTCATTATTTTCTCTCATCCCTTTTTTCTGCTAACTTTCTCTCTTTATTCCCTCTGCACATCCACTCTCTCACCATCTATTTTGCCATATTGTACAATTGTTCATATTTTTTAATGGTATCCATAGCTGTTTTTATTTCAAAGTTAATTTGATATCATTCTGTACCATAGACTGGGGAAGTGGAGTGGCTGGTTAAAGGAAGTGTTGAGGCAGTTCTGGCATCTTGCACCCAGTATAACCAGAGCATGGCTACCCTCCCACTGTCCCAGGAGAAATGTCAGCAGATCATGTCGGCTTGCATAGATCGTGGAAGGCAAGGACTTCGAGGTCAGTAGAAAGTGTAATGGGGTAATGTAAGGCACGATGTAAAAGATGTTCCACCTTTCTCTCACATCTGAAGTGACTGGCAGGGTATTTTTCCCCTTATTTCTTTCCATTGTAAGGACTTTGTATGCCATTTCATGAGAATTTTTCTCAGGTTGGAGGGATTGCATCATGTGATAATTCTTTAAAATGTGGTGAACCTTAAATGAAAGCATCTCCTCTTCCTTTGACTGAAATTTGCTCTGGAATCTAGTTGTTGGGATTGCACGAGGTCCGTCCACAAGCGAGCTGAGCTACATGGGAATGGTTGGCATAATGGACCCCCCACGTGAAGGAGCCAGATCCTCTGTTACTACTCTCCAGTCTACAGGAGTTAGTGTCAAGATGGTGACTGGTGATGCACAGGAGACTGCTTGTGCTATTGCCCAAGCAGTTGGTCTCAGGGTATGTAAACCTGGTGTCTATAAGCTTGAGTATTTGAGATATACCCTGCCACTTTTAACCCATTCATGCATCTATTCTTCCCATGGTGTACTAGGCCCATATGGTGAGTGGTGAAAATTCATGCCACATATGGTCAAGCTTGCTCTGTGCTGTGTGCACTCAAAAGTTGTTCAGGTATTTGGCTCTGACTACGATAATTGAATAGATACAGCCCCTCAAACCAGGCTTGGGTTAGGATTGTATTCTCAGATTTTTCATGTGTTTGTGTTTGATTGTTTGTTGTATTTGTTTACATTGTTTTATGTGTATTCATTTATATATTCCTCTAATCCAATAGGTTGGACCTGGTACTGTGTATTCTGGGGATCAAGTAGACAGCATGGATGAGCGGGTATTGCTTGGGATTATTCAAGATGCTACTGTGTTCTACAGAGTTTCACCCAGGCATAAGCTGCGAATTGTAAAGGTAAATTTATATTTAAGGCCATAATACATGCGAGTTGGATAGATGTTCATTGGAGTTTTTTTTTTTTCTGTTCATTCACAGATATTGCAGCTGAATCTTTATTGGTTATATGAAATTTGCCAAAGATATTTAAGAATATTACTGGTTTCATTCCACAGTTCAGAGTCTTGTTTGAACCAATATATTAGGTATAGCAACCTAAAGGACATACAAGGTAAATTAGATTAAAAAAAAAAAAAAAATTGTTGTAAGTATATATTTACTTATGATGTTAACAAAATTCTAAAGTATTTTCTCTTATTATAGGCACTTCAGGACAGAGGAGAAATTGTCAGTATGACAGGTGATGGCGTTAACGATGTGGTAGCCCTAAAGCGTTCTGACATCGGCATTGCTATGGGCAAAATGGGTTCAGCTGTCAGCAAGGAGGCTGCAGATATGATACTCAATGACGACAATTTTACAACCATTTTGTGAGTTGTTGTAATTCTAGTATGTATAGTAAATGATGCTAATGAGTGATATTGATTAAACTAGGAGGGGAGAAAAATAAGTTGAATGTACTTAATTGTGTGCATTTGGTTCATTTTATTGTTTTATATTTCATTTTAATGCATTCATGAATATATCTGTCCATCCGTTCCCATGAATAAAATAAAAACGTCAATGCACCAAGACCAACTCTTTCTTAGATGTATAACCTGCTGTCACCTTCAGGGCAGCCATTGAGGAAGGCAAGTGCATCTACCACAACATCACTAACTTCGTACAGTTCCAAGTGAGCACCAGCCTTGTGGCCCTCAGTCTTATTGCTCTCTCTACGCTCTTTGGATTACCCAGCCCTCTCAACCCCATGCAGGTGAGATTATATTATTTGTAAGGTATGATTACATTTGTTTTTGTCAGCACCATCATCTTTACTATTTTTTGTTCTTATCTGTTTATTTTGTTATTATTATAGTGGTGTTCATACTGTCTGGTAGTGAAAGCAGTATCGTTAGCCCGAAAGGACCACAACTGCTCAGCTTTGCCAGAGTGCTCAGCCACAAAATGCACCTAATTTTTATCTGTAAATACAACCAAATTTACAGACCCAAAAATCTTAGTGCCTGTAAAAAACACACACGCTCACGCGCGCATGCACACGCACGCACACACACACACACACACACACACACACACACACACACACAACACACACACACACACACACACACACACACACACACACACACACACACACACACGCACACACACACACACACACACGATCAATATTTCTGTTATTCAAAGAAAAAGGTAAACAGGTGTGATAGGTAGGACTAGTAATTAACTCATTGGTTACTAGTAATTAACTCGTTGGTGACTGGAAATTCACTCGTTGGTGACTAGTGATTAACTCATTGGTTAATAGTAATTAACTCATTGGTTACTAATAATTAACTCATTGGTGACTAAGTACTTGTTGAACCATCTGTGTTATAACAACAATTAATAAATTAAGCTCATAAGTGGACATTGCATATGTATACATACAGGAATGGGAGTGGGTTTGAGGGGATGTAACAGGAAGTATCTTGCCAAATGGGACTAGATTTACTTCTTTACAATCCTTGCCTCCTGTTAACAGACAGACAGGGAAGAAGAAAAAGAAGAAAGAAAGGGGGGGGAAAAAAGTGGTTGAAAACAGTCCACCACATTTAGAGAGACTATGCTTAATCAAGGAATCTCAGATTGAGTATCAAAAGTCTAAATATGCTCAGTTGAGTGTCTTTAGTCTTTTCTGTGTGCTGTGTGGTGCAGAGGTAGCAATCTCGTGTAGCAATTTTGCCGACTTGCGTACAAATCCATCGCCACCTGTGGATGGTAACCCCGGGCATTCCTTGCACACGGGAAAATTTAGAAGCAAAATGAAGCCGACAGCAACTCGCCAAGAATATCCATTGTAACAAATGGAATAAAACTAAATAGAAATTTTGTTGTTCTTGTTCTTTTGATAATTTTTCTCTCCCTCCTTTCTCTCATCAGATTTTGCTGATCAATGTCATCATGGATGGCCCACCAGCCCTGACTCTTGGCATGGAGCCTATAGATGAAGATGTGAAAGTCCAGCCTCCCAGAGACACCAAGAAGGACCTCATAACACCCAAAATCATCCGCAATTGTGTCATCTCGGCTGCCGTTATCATCTGCGGGACTATGTGGGTCTTTAGGTGAGTTAACATTTCTTCTTCACTTTTCCCTGTTTTCTTTGCCATTTCTCTCTTGGCCATCATTGTTTTGCATTATGTTACTTTTGTTTTTCTTTCTGTTTTAGCTTTGTTGAAATTATACATTATTTCATAATTTTCAGTCATCAGCAATTTACTCAAAGCTTGTCACGTTCCCATCTGAGTTTCTAAGGGAGGGTACCCCAATGAATTTATTCCTGCATATTTATGAATTTTGTATTTCATTTAAAAAATTGATTTTAGCCGTACTTGACGGTATTATGGAACATTTTAGATATATTCTGTTAGAATTTTCATCTTAAACACTACCAATATTTTAATAATAGACAAGGAAAGGACTTGCCCTCTTTGCAGTTTGCACCCTTTTGCTTCCCAAAACCACAATAACTAGGAAGAATTGAGTATACATAACCAAGGCCGTGGGGCCAGAGCCGAGTTGATTAGCAAGCCATTCCTAGTGATCCCACACTGTAGTAATTTCATATTCCTCAAGACACTAATTTATGGCATGTGGCTGCGCTTTCTTTGGAAAGTCTTAGTAACTTTATACAGAAAACATGCAGACAAATGTGCGCATATGTGAACTTTCAAATGCAAACATGTTTTGTGAATTTTTACTGGTGTACTTTGATCAGGATATATTTTTAAAACCACAGAAGTCAGATATGATTCTGCTCTGCTTTGCAGTATTTTGATACAACTTATAAAAAAAGATCAGAATAAAAGGATAAGGAGTAGAAGTCTCCCCCCACCAAAAAAAAAAAGAAAGAGAAAAAGAAAAAAAAAAACAAAGATAAAGATAGATAATAGATAAATAAAGATTTTTAAAGTTGATGGTCCACTCAGATATTGTTTATTTTCTAGTCGTTAAACGATGGTCTAAAGTTTACCAAGGAATATATTAGGCAGTCAGGAACAACTTTACATCAGCATTTATTTTTTGTTCTAAATCTCCTGTAAGGCTTTGAAGTCTTTGAAGTATTTTTGGGTAGTGAGACTAAATTGTAGCTGAATTGTTATTGTTATTTCACAGGTCTGAAATGATGGATGGTGTGGTGACAGCTCGAGACACAACAATGACCTTCTCTTGCTTTGTAATGTATGACATGTTCAATGCCATGTCATGTCGCTCTGAAGGCAAGTCAGTCCTGGAGATTGGCCTCACAACCAACTGGTACTTATTTATAGCTTTAACAGCTACCATAGGCTGTCTGCTTGGTGTGGTCTATTTGCCTTTTCTGCAGTGGGTGTTCCAGACAGAGGGCCTGCACATCACTGACTGGATCTACCTCCTGTGTCTGACCTCCACCGTGCTGCTGGTGTCTGAGCTAAGGAAGTTCCTGGACCGCCGGCAAGAGTACTCCAAGGGCATCCTCAAGAAAGGCTTCTGGGTGTCAAAAAAATCAGCCAAGGCAAACTGGATGGATGCTGTGTAGTATCTTTGACTTTTTTTCTGACGTCAGTAGAGACCCTTTTTGTAACAACAGATGCGATCAAGGCATGATGTGAACGTGAACCAGAGATTTGGCAGGTCATTTTGATATACTGTTGGCTTGCATATGTTTTTTTTTTTATTATTATTATTATTATTCAACTTTACATTTTCTGCCATAGAAA